ACCACTCTGACTAAAGCTCTTTCCACACTCCATGCATTTATACGGTTTGTCCCCAGTGTGAGACCTCTGATGTAACCTGAGGTGACCACTCTGACTAAAGCTCTTTCCACATTCTATGCATTTATGTGATTTCTCCCCTCTGTGGGTTTTTTGACATGACCTACATTTACTATTGTAACTGAAGCTCTTTCCACATTCCATACATTTATGTGGTTTCTTCCCGTTGTGAATTCTATGGTGTATATCGGGGCTCTTGTTCTGACTGAAGCTTTTCCCACATTCCAAACAACTGAGGTGACATGTATTTACGTGGTTTCTCCCCTGCATTGGTCCTTTCATGTGAAGTCCATGCCTGCCCACTCCGATTTTCATTTCTCTGTTTTTTCGCTTGATTATGAGTTCCTGCCCAGGTTGCCCCAGATGTTGCTGGGAATTCTTCTCCTGTTCATCATCTGGTAGATTAGAAAAAAAGAGAAACAACCACTTCCAAAATCCGCAGAAATAAGGAATGATGTGTTCAGGCTCCGCCTGTGTTATGGAGGAGGAAGGAAAGACAGTCAGAAGGGTGGGGGAAGAGAATCAGGGAGGGTATTAAGCTGGATCGGAGGTTGTTCCTGTGGGCTTGAGGTTGGAAGGGCTCTTCACTGAAGGACCTTTTGGAGGGAGGAGTAATGACGAGAGGATCATTTCCATACCCAAATAAGTACGGTACATCAAATTCAAAGTGTATTAACTTTTTTACCTTAATTTATCCCCAATGGTTGTAGTTAAGTTTCCAGAAAACTAGAAAGGAATTTCTCAAAGTTCATCAAAGAGGAAACAAATAATTAAATGATTGTTTAGCGAAAATGAATAACAAAGGAGGGGTAGGACAGTGTTAGAAAGGAAGAGTAATGGATGATAATGATGCAGCTAGATTATTGAACTTGAGACCGGGTAAAGAGTAATTAATAGTAAATGCTAGAAACTGATAAAGTCTGCAGAGATTATTATTCAGAGGGAGAAGAGAAACAACAGTCCATGAAAGGGATGGGATGTAGAATTTATAAAATGCTCTTACGCGTAGAGAATCATCAGGGAAATAGGTACTGAGATAATAGAATCTTAGTACAGTGGGCCCTCGACTTATGAACTTAGTCCATTCTGGAGCGACGTTTGCACCTCGAAAAGTTTATGTCAACCTACCATTTCCCATTGACATGTATGGGAACGGAATTAATCCATTCCAGCATTTCAAAAAAATACAAAAATAAAAATAAAAAGAGCAAGCCCGTTAGGACTGCAAAACACACACACACACACACAAACCCACAGACACAAACCCCCCAGTACAAACCCAACCTCCAAAACTCACACAGAAAAGTTTTTTAAAAAGGACTTACCAGTCTGAAGGCAGCCGGTGCTCCGCTGCCTCCGCACGGCCGGGGGCGAGCGGCCAGGCACCTGGCCAGCTCTAGCCTCCCGGTGCTCCACTGCCTCCGCCGCGGCCAGGGGCAAGCGGCCAAGCACCCAGTGAGGTCTAGCCTCCCAGTGCTCCACTTCTTCCCTGCCTTTGGAGGGCTTCCTCCGATGTCAGGGAAAGCCCTTTGAAACCTCTGAAGGCACCGACTGCGGCGGGGAGGAACCCCAGGGAGGTCTCTCATGGTGGCGTGTAAGCCCTGGGAGACCTCCCTGGGGTCCCCCCCGCCACCAGGATGGGTGGCTTTGGACCTCTCAAAAGGCTTCCTCCAACATTGGAGGAAGCCTTCTGAAACCTCCAAAGCCAAAAAGGCAGGGAGAAAGCGTGGGAAGTTCGAATTTCCCGCCCTTTCTCCCTGCCTTTTGGGTTCGTAACCCGATCCACGTTGCAGAACTAGAAGGGAAGTAAACTCCCAATTTGTTAGATGCCTAAACCAGTGTGCATGGGTGGTGGTGGGGGGAGAATTTGATAAACCACATCTGTGAGAATAAAAGCAAAAATTTAAACATTGAAATTGAGAAGGGATTTGACCCCAGCTAAATTAAATATTACAAATTGTAAATGCTGCATATTACAGTAGTATCTCGGTTTACAAAATCAATGTACAGTGGTGCCCCGCATAGCGAGGTTAATCCGTTCCGGATTAACCTTTGCTATGGGAAAACATCGTAAAACGGATCAAAAACCCCAACAAAGTTTAATGCGTTCCAAATGGGCCCAAATCTCACCGTTCTCCGATGTTTTCCGTTGTTCCGGCGGCCATCTTGGGTGTACCAGTGGCCATTTTTTTTTGTTCCGGTGGCCATCTTGGGTATTCCGGCGGCCATTTTTTTGTTCCGGCTGCCATCTTGGGTGTACCGGCACCCATTTTTTGTGTTCCGGCGGCCATTTTGGAGCCGCAGAACAGCTGTTCCCCCATCGTAATGCGAGCGTGCCCTCGCATTAGCGATGGGGAAATCTGCATCGCAATGCGAATTCATCGTTCAACGGTGCACTCGTTATACGAGGCACCACTGTATTATCCTGGACATTGTTATTGTTTAGTCGTTCACTCCAGCAACAATTATCATCTAGATGTACACTGTGTTGTTTGGCACATGCATCCATATGATTCTGTCCTTATTCTAAGTCCTTGGGTGAGCATTCTTTGGCAATGCCCTTCTTTGGGATTGGGATGTAGACTGATCTTTTCTAATCCTCTGGCCAATGCTGAGTTTTCCAAACAAATGATTTCATACAGTTCGGTGGTGATGATCTCTTTATAGCACCTCAGCAGGGATGTTATTCTTCCCAGGTGCCTTACAAGAGGTGAGGAAATCCAAGGCCGCTTTTATTTCTACTAAAGTTGGTTTGCTGTTCAACTCTTCCAAGACAGGCAGGCACTCGATGTTATTTAATGCCTCTTTGGTTCCAACATTCTCTCTGGAATATAGCTCAGAGTAGTGCTGCGCCCACCGTTCCACCTGCTGTGCTCGGTCCTGGATGATCACACCAGTAGCAGACTTCAAGGGAGCCTATTTCCTCTGTATTGCACCTAAAGCCTGCTTGATACTGTCTTACATTTCCTTGATGTTACCTGTGTCCGCTGCTATCTGTATCTGAGAGCAGAGATGAAGCCAATAATTGTTGGAACATCTCTTGGCAACCTGTTGGACTTTGCTATGGGCAACTTGAGGAGTCTACAAGTTGTACACACTAGGAAAGGCTTTGTATGTGGCTGGAGCTCTCCTCTTATCATTGATGGCTGGCATCAAGCGCTTGGGCAAATTCCTCCACTTTTCTTTGACCATCAATCTTGCTGATGTCAATATGTGGTCTTCCTTTTTTGTGTGATACAATCTCTTTGTTCACAGTTTTACTGTACTACATACCAGGGAGTGATCAGTATCACAGTCAGCATCCTGATAACTGCATATGATAATACTAGGAAGGCTAGAGAGTCTACTGAGGACCAAATCGAGCTGATGCCAATGCTTTGATCTTGGATGTCTCCAGGAAACTCTGTGTTGAAGCTTCATGTTAAAGACTGTATTGCTGACACAAAGACCATAATAACAACAAAACTCCATCAAGCATTGGACATTTTCATTCATCTTCCCAATGCCAAAACGGCCTAGACAAGTGGGCCAAGAATTGTGATCAGCACTAACTCTAGTTTTAAGGTCTCCTAGAATGAACAGTGGCTCTCTCTCTCAGGGATTTTTTTATAGTAGCTGCCAGACTGTTGTAGAAGCTGTAGAAGCCATGATGGGGATGTAGAATCTCAAGGTTTAAAAAGAATGTACAGTATCTCAAATCCCGCCAGATGTAGGGGAGGGTTATTGGGAGACCAGTTCCTCGTTGTCTTGTGTGCTCCCAGAAGCATCTGGTGGGGCCACAGTGAGATATAGGAAGCTGGACTAGATGGGCCCTTGGCCTGATCCAGCAGGGCTCTTCTCATGTTTCTTACGCTATATTACATCCTCAGAGACAACAGCCTTTAAACAGGAAAAGCTGCTCGCTTCCCCTCCACTCTAAAGAAGAGATGATCTGGATTAGGCCTCTGATGCCACCATGATGCCTATGGAGGGTAAGACTGAGAGCTGAATGATGCTGTTTCTCAGGCTTTGACATCCCTCACCATCGAACACAGGGAAGGGAGAAGAAACTGATGTGTGATCCCTTTTTTGAAGAAAGCCGTATTTGCTACACATCTGGGCTTCATAGCCCGAAAAATAAATATTTTGAAAGTTGCTTCATCCTTTCTGGGGTAGGGCCGATGGGCCAATGATTCACTTTTCTTCTTTGCTTTGTTTTCCAGAGGGTTAGCAGAGCGTTTTTTGTTTGTTTTTAGATCGAAGACTACAAATGCCCGACAACTCCTTTCAAGATGATCAGATGGACTTGCTTCCAGGAAAGTAGATTTAGGATAATAAGCATATTTGGAAAAGAATAGCGGGAGCGTGTTCATTTCATTTATGCTCAAAGCCCTGCCAACCAAATAAAGCAACAGAAAGAGGACAAGAAAGCAGAATGCTCACCCAGGTGAAAATGAGAGGATTTTTAACTCACCAGCTATTTCTTGGATAATGTGCTTAACACTGGCATTCACAACTAGCTACTATAGAGAAGTCTTCTTTAATGGTCAGGCTTGTCCATGGCACAGATGCTATGCACTGCTGGGGCTTAAGGACTTACCCCTCAGTGCAAAAGTGACAGATTTGTGACCAGAGTGACTCCCTGCCCAGACTCCATCCTCTCCTTAGGGAGACTTGGATGTCAGAAGCCCAAGCCAGCAAAGAGGAGAAATGGGACAAAGGAGAAATGGGGAAACGCCCCTGATGGAAATGAGGGCAAGCGAAACGTAAGGAGACGAGAAGTAAAAAGGACCAGGAGCAGAAAAAGAGAGAGAAAGATAGAGAGAGAAGTGGAGGCCAGGACGGTAGAGGTGAAGAGAGTAAGATATTGCTAGAAGGGTGGGAAGGATTCTGGACGGAGAACCCATGAATTCATACCTGGGAGAGATAGATGAAACCAAGAAAAGAGGCAGGAAGGTGAAGGAACCATCACTCAGACAGGAAATATTTTTTACGGGGTAAACAGGAGAGTAGAGGATGGATCCAAAAGAGAAGGGAAGAACGGATGCAAACAGGAAAGGAGAAAAGAGAGGACGTGGAACGGAAGAACCTTCCCCCACGCAGGGGTGTGGAATCTCCTTCCCAGAGGAGAGGACCGGAGGGGGAGAGTGGTGGACTGAGGAGACGCTGCCCCTCTTGCATCTGCTGGTGTCAGCCTCAAGGGAAGCCCCACAGAAGGAGAATTATGGTAGTCTATTCTTGAGACTATCTGCGCGTGGACCAATCTGGGGAGTGACAATTGCGTTCAGGCAGGGGCCCAGCTGCACCATCTGTCTAAGAGGGAAGTAGGTGGATCGGACCACGGGCGCCATCTGGTTTTCCACTGACAGCATTGGGTCCAGAAGAATGCCCAGCGTGTGTTGGGAACCATCCAAATCTCAAACATCAGGGGCACCCAGTTGGAGGCCCCCCCTTCTTGTTTGGGTTCAGCCTTAGTCTATTGTCCCTTTTATCCTCCCGTTTAAGGAGAAGGTGAGAACAGAAATGACATTGCCTATTAATCAGTTATCATAAGAGTCCAAAGTACAGGTGGATGGTGCAAAGCAAAATCCCCAGTTTGGCTTCTCTGTTAAGGGGGAACAAGAATAGAGGCTTGAAGGGGAACCTCACAACACCCCAAATCAGGACAACAAAGATTTGCCTCTTATCAAGAGGACCTGCCCTTGGTGAGCATGGGGTTTGGGATGAGCAGGATCGCAATATTTAGAAAAAGAAAACTAAATAAAATGCAAAGAAAACCATACCCCAAAACACCACCACTTTGCACATGTTCAGAGAGGCAGTGTGATGTAGTAGATGGAGTATCAGACTGGAAACCAGGAGACCTGGATTCAAATCGCTGCTGAGCCAGGGAAACTGAGAGGAAAGTGTGTGTGTACAAGGCTACTTAAGCCACCTCTTCAAATCTTACTTACCTTGCAAATGTTGGAGGGATCTGGGATTTGCTTCTTCGTTTTTGGTCCCCCAAACAGACATCAACTCAGTCTCACCCCTTCCTAGGAAAAAAGAAGAAAAATATCAGCCTGGAGGCTTAATGGATGAAGCAAATAAAAAAACATTTCCTTCCTGGATGTGCCTTCTTCATGTTTCTATTGAATGGGGCTCCATCCCCATCTCTCTCTCCAGGCAGCAGAACAAGAGGAACACAAAGGCAGACCACAAAGAAACAAACAGAGAGACGGTTGGGAAGGAAGGAAGGAAGGAAGGAAGGAAGGAGCATCTCATGCTGGGCTCCGAGATAAAAAGCTCCCCCCGTCCCAGTGAGGAGGGGGAAACAGCAGGGAACAAGAGAACAGCAGGACCTGCTTCCCACTGACACCTGTGAGGAAAGCAGAAGTAAACAAGATAGTATTTCTCCCACTATTTATTTAAAACATTTTCCCCTGCCTTTCTCCTTAAAAAGGATGTAAGGCAGCTTGCTTAAAAGGCAATATTTAAAAGTGAAAAACAGCAGGTCTGCAAATGCTAAAAAGTATCTAACCAAAGCTACTGTAAAAATGGTAAAAAAAAATCTAGGAAACACCAGAGCCCTGTGTGATGTAGTGGACCAAGGGTTGGACCAGCCCCCTGTTCTCACAGGACCGTTATTTTTGTCACGTCAAGGATCCTAACACAGGGGGCATCTCCGAAGTCGCTCCTCGGCCTCCATGCCAAGTGCCCTGTGTTGTGGGGTTGCCCATCCAAGGTGGGCAGAGTTCAGGTGTCAGGACTTTTCTCACCTCCTGTCTTCCAACCCCCGACCTCGCTTAGGCTTTGCTCTTCCCTTTGAGCTCACTGCAAACTCGCAGGGGCTTGGAAAGGGGGCAGCCGAGGGTGGGGGGTCTTGGTGTCGGCTGTCCCTGCTGTAAAGCAAAGAGTTTCACAAACACTTGGTCTGGAAAGTACCCTTCAGAGCCATTCACTCTGCAAAAGACCTGCCAGGAGAGGAAATGCCCGAGAAGGAGAGGCTGGGTTGCCTTCTGGTCCTTCTTTCCTCCTGCCCTCCATGTGGAAGGACCGGAGCTCCTTCAGCCTCTTTGAAAGCCTCTTTTCTCCACCCCATGGAGAGCTACGAATTGCAGGCAGGAGGGCAAATCCCTAGGAAGCAGGGGTGAGGGGCAGGTGTTTTGCACAGCCGACGATGCTGAATTGTGCCTTCAGGACCAAAGACCCAGAACAGTTTTGGCACTGTTCCCTCAGAGGGAAGGTGCAGGAAAGACTCCCTCCCTCCCAACCCCCACTTCTCCTACGGCCTACACCTCCCACCTGCTTCTCCAGCCCCACCTGGGACTTGTCCCTTTAAGGGAGCCTTTCAGGAGTTTGGCCAAGGTGTGCTTTTGTTTGCGTTTGTCTATGTATCTGTTTCCCCTTCATGGATTGCTGCCTTATCGTGACGAAGGGGCTTGAGTAATTCAGAGAAACTATGGGCTATGCTGTGCAGGGAC